AGAGGCAGGAGGACTTCCAGGTGGATGGGAGGTCACTCACTGAGCACATGGCAAGAGGAAGTGCCTGGAGACCCAGGAGACAGGAGGCAACTCAGATAGGACAGATTAGGCTCAGTGGCATTCACCACTCCTGATCCAGAGGGAAAAGTAGGGGTCATAACAGGTAGAGGTCACTTCTAAGGCCAGTGGGAGCTGGAGCCCAGTCACTATTCAGATAGCATCTGATTAAAATTCACTTTCAGAGCAACCTTGAAAGGCAAGAGAAAACTCAAGCAAAGACAGACAGGCCAACTTCATTATACATATGGCTCTCCTTGAGCAAAGTGTTCCCACAATGTCCAACTATCTAACAATAAAGGCTGGTGTTCAAAGCTCCTGGTGATCTGGTCTCAACCTATCCCTGGTGAAGATTTCATATTTCACCTACTCATGTTTGGCCCCTTCCTACCTGTGAAAATGCAAGAATTTCTCCTGCCCCTGCTTCAACCATATGGTCCAGGTAGGGACTATCAATCATGATATCCCAACCCCATTCTCTTCTCTTGTGCATGCTTCCAGACATTCTCTCCTCCTCTCACACCCTGCTGTCCACATTTCTTCAGACTGATCTCATGCTTGTACCCCTAGGCCTTCCCTCCAGACAACTTGTCAACTCCTACTCATCCTTTGAGGCCCAACTCAAAGGGCTCGTCCTCAGGGAAGCCATCCCTGACCACCCTAAGCAAGGCTTGCCATGCCCCCCTCTGCCTGTCCTAGCTTTTTGTACATGTCCTCATCACCTAGTATCCCAATGACCTGCTTTCTTGTCTGTCCCCTAAGCTATGTTTTTTCTCTCCATGACCCCAGTGCCTGGCAAAGGGCCTAGCACAAAGTATAATAAATGTTTACTGAATAAGGGAATACATGAGTAAGTTTCTCTCTCTCTCTCTCATGCCATCTCCCTGAGTCACTACTCGGTTTCTATCAAGTGGAAACACAGAAGAAAAACCAGGAGGAACTGTTTTAGTCCCTCAATTCAAGAGTGACGTATTCAGGAAAAAGAAACCCCAGTAGAAATAGGGCCACTGCAAAGCCCAGTGGCATTTATGAGGTCAGTTTTCTGCCAAAGCGCTGATGGTGACAGCTTTGAGCTGAGCACTCTGCTTGGGAGCTAGAGCCAAAACTAACATTCTCTGCGCGCTAGGATTCTCACAGCTATTTCTGTCAGCTCCTCGGGGAAAATCATCTAAAAGCCATCTGGGTCTGCCTAGAACCAGGGGTCCCCATCTCCTTTGCCTCAGTCTGACCCAAGTAACCAAGCAGCCCTCTCCCCCACCCTTCATTTCCACCACAGCACACACCTCCTCAAAGGGAGCTCTTTCTTCTTCTTCTTCTTTTTTTTTTTTTAATAAATTTTTATTGTTCATATTATTACAAATGTTCCTTTCTCCGCCCCCCCCCCCATTGCTCTCCTCCACCAGGTTCCCACTCCACCCTCTGCCCTTTCCCTACCCCCTTTTGTTCCCATCCATAGGTGCACAGTTTATGTTCAGTCTTTTCCCACATCCCCCTCTCCCTTTCCCCCCAAGAATCGTCAGTTCACTCCCCTTCCATACCTCTGATTCTATTAGATTCAACAGTTAATATTGTTCATCAGATTTTTTAAATAAATTTCCTTGGTTTTTAGATTCATTCGTTGATAGTTACGTATTTGTTGTTCATAATTTTTATCTTTATTTACTTTCTCTTCCGAAAGAACCCCCTTCAGCAGTTCATATAATTCTGGTTTGGCGGTGATGAACTCCTTTAGCTTTTTTTTTTTATTAGTGAAGCTCTTTATCTGGCCTTCGATTCTGAGTGATAGCTTTGCTGGGTAGATTATCTTTGGCTGTAGGTTCTTACTATTCATCACCTTGAATATTTCTTGCCATTTAAAGGGAGCTCTTTCATTGGTCAGGATATGGGGCACTGAGAACAGAGTCAAAAATGGCTAGAGGGGACTTGGACCTGTAGGACAAGTTCTGACCAATCATCTGTGAGTAGAAGTAACATGCCATTTCCACGTTGAAGTACTTAATTGCTGGTGCACAACTCTCCAGCTCTCTTTCCACTATTGAGGCAATCCTGAAAGCCTCATACTGAGGTGGCAGAGCCCCGGATGGAAGTGGTCTGGATCTCTGAGTTATCCAATAGAGTGGAGGAGAGCTAGCTACCCTGCAAGATGCCTTGATCCATAGCAGTTTTTGCATGCGTGGGGAAAATATACCATTGTTGTATTAAGCCATTGAGATAGTTGGGTTGCTTGTTACTACAGCAGAGCCTAACCCCATGGTCAGCAAACTAAGGCTTGCGGCTCTTTGGCCCCTTGTGTGTGGCTCTTCCACAAAATACCATGGCCTGGGTTGAGTCTATTTTGAAGAAGTGGCATTAGAAGAAGTTTAAGTTTAAAAAATTTGGCTCTCAAAATAAAAATTTTAAAAATATATCTTTTTATTGATTTTTATAGAGAAGAAGGGAGAGGAATAGAGTTAGAAACATCGATCAGCTGCCTCCTGCACACCCCATACTGGGGATGTGCCTGAAACCAAGGTACATGCTCTTGACTGGAATTGAACCTGGGACCCTTCAGTCCGAAGGCTGATGCTCTATCCACTGAACCAAACCGCCTAGGGCTCAAAATAAATTTCAATCGTTGTACTGTTGACATTTGGTTCTGTTGACTAATGAGTTTGCCGACCACTGGCCTACCCTATTCTGACCAATATATGGACATGAATTGTTTTAGCCATCCAGCATCAGACCTCCTTCCTGCTTGAGGAGACACATTGCTCCTCCTCGTGTCTCTTTGGCATTGCCGAATCCAGTGACCACTTCTTTGTTTTTTCTCTTTCTTGATTTCTCAGCAGCATTTGTCACAATTGACCACTCTGCCCCTGGAAACATTTCATCCTGGTGTCTATGACATCACACATGGTTGGGTTGTCTCCTATTTCACAGCCCTGCTTCTTAGTTTCTTTCATTGGCTCTTCCACTGTTTCACTTTAAAAGTTTGAAGTTTTTCAGGGCTTATTCCTAGAGACCTTTCTCATGGGTTTAAGTGCCCTCCATGAAAAAGACAGCTGGTTGCCTTCCAATGTTCATTCTACTATTCTTTATTAATAACAAAACTCCTATCCTGTGCCCAGTTAAAAGACTACATTTCCTAGCATGGCCCTGTGTTTTGGCCAATGAGATGTAAGAAGAATATATAGACCTTTCAAGGCATCCTTTTTTTTTTTTTAATATATTTTATTGATTTTGTACAGAGAGGAAGGGAGAGAGATACAGAGTTAGAAACATTGATGAGAGAGAGTCATGAGAGAGAGTCATCAATCAGCTACCTCTTGCACACCCCCCACCGGGGATATGCCCGCAACCAAGGTACATGCCCTTCACCGGAATCGAACCCGGGACCTTTTAGTCCCCAAGCCAACGCTCTATCCATTGAGCCAAACCGGTTTCAGCTCAAGGCATCCTTCTTAAAAGGAAAAAGATGAGCCTTTCTTTCCTTTTTCTCCTCACTGGCGGGAATGTGAACTAGATGAGGTAACCTTAAGATGTGCTGAGGATACTGGAGTGGCCTTGAACTGCCTACCTTTGGACTTATTTTTCTGAAGAGGGATATAAATTCCTACCATAAGACATTTTTTTCTTTTATTCTTTGCAACCGAACCTAACCCTGATACATTCTCATGCTGTGCAAGTTGTTTGCTTGCCTCCTATTTGGAAGCCTGGGTCCAAATCCTCCCCCAGTCAGAGGAGTGGGAAACCAGCAAAAGAAATGCATTTCCAGGCCCCCCCCAAAAAACATGCTGAACCCCTTCCACAAATTGTAAGTAACCAAGCTACCAGGAGGATAGGATGGGAGGTGGACCTAGGAATAAAGTTTATTAGCTCACAGAGAGCGTTGAATGCTAGACTAAGGAATGTGTAAGTCCCTTGCAGATAGGGAGACCCTGTCTGTCTTATCCAGTAATGCCTCTGCTTTGTAGATGCTCAGTGAACGACTATGTTCTTTATTAAGTAACTAGTGCCTCGTTGCACAAAATTCATGCACACTAAAGGGGAATTAATTAGAGGTAATATTTTAATATTGCTATTTGCCCTTTCTCTATAATAGAAGTGTCAGAGATGAAAGAAAATTAGTAAAATGTATATGAAAGCCTTCCTCCTGTCAGAGTCTGGGGCACACCACAGACCCAGAATCAAGTCCTCATCCACCCACATACACCTCAAAATCGCTGGAGGCCCAGACCCAGATGGCCCCATCCCCATTGGGCTAGATCCAGACCTGACCAGTCCCACCCCGAAGGGGGGCCTTAGGTCCCCTGCGCCGACCCAGAGCCAGGCAGCCTCTGGTTCCTGCTGATGGCTCATTAAGGCTCATTATCGAAACTCCGTTTCCACTGTGGGCACAGCCATCTTGTCATAGCATAACAGTCAACTTGCATATTCCCTCTTTATTAGACAGGAAGATGGTGTTTGCTTATTAAGAAAACAAAATAACAAAAGAAATGTTGGAATCACCAGACCAGTTGAGAATCACCACTTAATCTAGCCTTGCCTGCTTTTCGCACATGAAGTAACTAGAGTATCAGCTGCTGGAAGTGGCATTCAGACTCTCCATAAGGAGAGGCAAATCGAAAACCCCACCTCGGAGATGATGCGGTGTTAGAACTGGGGAAGGAGGTCAGGAAAAGCCCTGGGGTTAGTGTCTCCTTAAGATGGTTGTCCTGGAACCACGTGACCGACGGCGAAGGCCCGCCCCCCGCCGCCTGGCCCCGCCCACTGCCCCGCGGGGGGGTTGTGAGGTGTCCCCGCACGGCGCCTGCGCAATGGGCCGCGGCGCGAGGGGCGGAGGCTTTATAACCACTTCGCTGAAGCTGCTCGGTTTCTATCTCGGGGAGGGCGGCGGCGGAGGGGAGCTGAGGCGGGAGCTGTGGCGGCGCTGGGCGCCGCTCGCCCCTCGGCCTCCGGGGGCCATGGGCTCTGAGAAGGACTCCGAGTCGCCGCGCTCCACATCCCTACACGCGGCCGCGCCGGACCCCAAGTGCCGCAGCGGCGGCCGGCGCCGGCGCCTCCCCTTCCACAGCGTCTTCTCCGCCTCGGCCCGCGGCCGCCGCGCCCGAGCCAAGCCGCAGGCCGAGCCGCCGCCGCCGGCCGCGCCGCCGCCGCCGCCCACCCCGGCGCCCGCCCCGGCCCCGGCCGCGGCCCCAGCCCCGCTGCCCGAGGCGCTGCCCGCCGATCCGGTCGCCGAGACCCAGGAGGAGGCCGAGGCGGTAGTGGCGGCGGCGGCGGCGGCGGCGGCGGGGCCCGGGCTCGACGATGAGGAGGCGGCGGAGGGCGGCGGCCCGGGCCCGGAGGAGGTGGAGTGCCCGCTGTGCCTGGTGCGGCTGCCGCCCGAGCGGGCCCCGCGCCTGCTCAGCTGCCCGCACCGCTCGTGCCGGGACTGCCTCCGCCACTACCTGCGCCTGGAGATCAGCGAGAGCCGCGTGCCCATCAGCTGCCCCGAGTGCAGCGAGCGGCTCAACCCGCACGACATCCGCCAGCTGCTCGCCGACCCGCCGCTCATGCACAAGTACGAGGAGTTCATGCTGCGCCGCTACCTGGCGGCCGACCCCGACTGCCGCTGGTGCCCGGCGCCGGACTGCGGGTGAGCGCGGGGGCGTGGCCGCGGCGGTGGGCTGTGTGTGTGTCCGTGTGTCCGGCCGTCCATGCGTCCGTCCCGGTGCGGAGGGACAGCTGGGGGGTGACCCACGGGAGAGGGAGGTTTAGCCGGTAGCCATCCCTAAGCCCCAGTGAGCGCGGTGGCGGCACCCTGCACCCCACCCCTGGCCGAGAGCTTGGGGTGGAGGCTGAGCGGTGGGTGAGGGAGGGAGCTATCCATCAGGTCAGGAGGCAGGGCAGGTTTTTTGTTTTGTTTTGTTTTGTTTTGTCGGGTAAAGGCCCCTCTGTCCAGAGGGGAAGGGTGCCCCTTCATGAGGGGCTCTATGGCAAAAGGCGGAATGAGAAGAGCATCCTGAGGGGGCAGCACTCCGGAGGGGTGTGTCCACCGGGCCGGAGGCAGAGCAGCCCTGCCGCAGAAGGTGTGTCCTTCTGAGCACCCCTCTGCCTGCCGAAAGTTGGGGCGGAGGTGATGAGGAAGGACAGCTCCCTAGGAGGGTCCGGGGCACCCTGAGCATTGTGTGTCCTCTGTGCCGAGCTGTTGGGGGGCCCCCTGGGGGTTTCACGCCGGTGCCTCAGGCAGGGTGAGGAGTGGACCCTTTGTCCAGGAAGCCATGGGGCACTCAGAAGAAGTCTGTGGAGAGGTTGATAGGGGAGGAGGAAATGTGTCTCCTAGCCCCTCCGATCTCGAGTTCTTGACAGTCTTTTTAATGCACCGAGTATGTTGAATTGTTAAGGTCAGTGAGAAAATATGCCTCAACTGCAGAGACATAATATCAACAGATTTACTATAGTGGAGACCCTCCTCCCCTCTTGTGTAAAAAAAAAAAAAAAAAAAAAAAAATCTGATTGTGTCAGTACATCCATGAATGGCCGCATGCAGCAAAGGGGCTCCTCCTGTGGTTGGGAGTCAGGCGTGCCATCACCTGTTCTCTGACCTTGGGAAGATCATTTTATTCTCGTGTGTCATGTTTGGGGACAGAAGGATGCTAAGGACTCCTTGCCGTGGGTAAATGGAATGCCAGTAAAAAGCTTCTTGATCTTTGCTTCCAGGGAGTTAAGAAGGACTTTTAATTGTAGCCTGTATGTCAAGGCTGTTTTAAGATTTCCGTGCTGCTGCTGTTTGTCTCCTTCAGAAGAAGCCGGCACAGACTGTTCAGGGGAGTTTAAAAAAAGTTAGCTGCTTGTATTTATCTACCAGACTTTGTTTAGAGAGGGGTGTGTTATTTAACCTCACCCAGATGGGGTTTCTAAATTACTCTGAAGTTGTTGTCAGTTCCTGTGTTTATGGTAAATCACTTTCACTTTCAGTTAATAAGTATCAGAAAGAACTATGTAGGCTCTTAGAAGTTTTTGCTTTTATCTGGTGATCCGACTGGCCTTAAGAGGTTAAATTTTACGGTATTCACATATTACAGAGACTATTGATCTATTTTCTGAACCAAAGGAATTTAAATGAACACTGAATATACTTCGGAATAGTATAGTCATTCTTTTTTTTGAGATGTGAGTTTCCTTGAATTTTAACTAAGAAATGTGGCACCACTGATTATCTTTCTGGAAAAGCTTCTTTTTGTTTATTATTCCCCTGAAGTCCAACTCTTGACTTTGTTCACATCAATAAAAAGAGACAGGAATTAATTGACAATCTCGACGACAACTTCAAACCATTCCTGATTTTGAAGTTATTAAAGAATTAGGCCATTTTCTATCTTAGCCAAGTGTCGCATCAGTTGTCATCAGAATTTATTTTTTAATTAGTTAAAAGAATTAATTTTATGTATAATTTTTTTAAATTTATTGTCTGTGTGTTTAAAGAAGGTGAAGTCTGGGGAAAGAAAGCAAGCTGGCAACATATGCCAGGCATACATGATTTAGTTTGATCCCTGCAACATGATAAGATAAATTTGATCTAGTTTTATAGGGGAGGGAATCGAAGTTTAAATAAACAGAGGCATGTAACTAGTGTAAACACTGGTCTTAACTCTAACCAAGTTTAATACTTTCCTCGCAATCTGTTTTAAAAAACATGGTTTGTCAGCATTATTGGGGATGCTAATGTTTGGGTCGTTTCAACAAGTGTGCTCTAAGGACAACATTGAGAGAGCCAAGGATGCTAGAATCGATTTTCTTTCCTGATTCCTGTTGTTAACAGGTCTTACCTACTTTATTTTTCTTACCTGAAATAAGCCTGATCCTTTCCTGACTTTAGAGGCTTAATGCTTGCACAGTGTTTTGAGATCTTCAGTTGAAGGTGGTAGATAAACAGGGAGTAACTTTAAAATTCTGTTTCTTCCCAAACAGGTGTCTAGGTTCCCTGGGTAGGTGGCCAATGGTTTTGCTTCTTTTTAATGCTGGGAGAAAATTAGCTTGTTTTGTTTTAGTTAAGCTGGTCTATTCTTCTGGGTCTGGTAAAAATCATGGGTGAACACTAGGACATAGCCCTAAGGCCCCATCTCTCCTCATACCCAAATTTATCAAGTTTGCAAGGTGTGTTTGGCAGGATGAGGAGAGTATGTAAGTGATCCTACAGAGTGAGTGTGTGTGTGTGTATATATATATATATATATATATATATATATATATATATATATATATATATATATATATTATTATTGATTTTTTTACAGAAGAAGGGAGAGGGATAGAAAGTCAGAAACATCGATGAGAGAGAAACATCGATCAGCCGCCTCTTGCACACCCCCTACCGGGGATGCGCCCGCAACCAAGGTACATGCCCTTGACTGGAATCGAACCCAGGACCCTTGAGTCCGCAGGCCGATGCTCTATCCACTGAGCCAAACCGGTTTTGGCTGATCCTACAGAGTTCTGATCAATAGTTTCACTGTGGTTACTCATGATAACAAGAACACTATATATTAAAAGATTTCATGATTTGTTTACAAAATATTTATAGAACAGAGCAAATAGATTTGAGTTTTTCTTTTCCCATATTTGAAACAATTTTATTTTAGTTGTAAATAAGGGAACTAATTTTAATGGGGAAACATTCGTATTGTTATTTATTTATTTTCTGGCCTTGCAATCCCTTTTATTCAGGTTTGGGATCCACCTGTAGCCCTTAGGCAGGCAAATTCCAGTAACAGGCAAACGATCTATATATATATAAAAAAAAATCTTTGTTCAGATTATTACAGGTGTTCCTCTTTTTCCCCCCCATAGCTCCCCTCCACCTGATTCCCCACCCCACCCCATGCCCTTACCCCTGTCACTGTCTTCATTCATAGGTGTAAGATTTTTGTCAAATCTCTTCCCGCACTCCTCAGACCCCTTCCCCCTGAGAATTGTCAGTCTACTCCCTTTCTATGTCCCTGATTCTATTATATTCACCAGTGTGGTAGGTGACCTATAGGAGCCAGTAGCTCAGCTTCCTCAATCACCTGAGATGGTTGCTCTTGGTATACCCCTTTGTGGGCTGAGTGCAAAGTCTTGGTGTAGTTAAGCCTCGATTGCTGTTGGTACACTGGGAGGAATTGACCTCCAGGCCAACTGGCTGTGAGGACCCGCTGTGTCTATAATGGAAGAACTGCTGTGCTAGAGACACACTTATGGTGCAGGCCTGGTTTCAGTGGGGCTTTGGTGCTTTGGTGCTCACTGAGTCTGCCTTCCGAATGTGTCACTTATGGATGTGAAGAGTTGAAATCTGGTGTCTCACACTGATCATTAGATACACTGGCTTCTGGATCTCCAATGAGGTACAGTTCAGCTACTGTCTGAGGCCATCCTGCAGAAGCTACAACGAGAACCGCAGTCCTCTCTTCCCTGCTTGGAGCTTGGAGGCTTTGGAGCTGTCTGCACCAGGTTGCAAGTTTGCTAGGTTAAACTGCAATAGAGAAGGCCATTCATATGCAAAAGCTGCTGCTTGGAGCTTGGGTGTGTTTGTAGATTGTGTGGGGCAGGGTCTCAGGGCATCACTAGGCTAGGGCATGGCAAACAGCGATGGCTGCCAGTCAGCCGTCTCTGCCTCTCTGTCAGCATCCCCGCATCTTGCGCCCCAGCACAGCAATTATTCTTGTGTGCAGCTCTGCAGGCAAGCCACCCTCACTTTCCTACCCGATAGCAGACAGTCCAGCTTCTTTCCAGAAACTGGATTTCAGAGAGATTGGAAAGCAACACCCTCCGCCAGCCTGGATCTACCACCAGCCTGTACCTCAGTTTTTCAGTGCTTGTGCCCTGAGTGCTCCTTTCTCTTTCAGTCTAGTTGTGGAGCTTCCACTCAGCCAGCTTTCCCGTGGTTTTGGGTGATAGACATTTTGTCTTTTAGTTGGACTTTTGAAATTGTTGTGCACGGCAGCAGTTTAGGTGTGTTTACCTACGCTGCCATCTTGGATCTCCCACATTGTTGTTTAATATCATTAAGTACAATACTACCAACTATAATCTTTAAAACATACTTTTATTTTATTATTTTTTAATCAATCTTTATTGTTCATATTATTACAAAGGTTCCTCATTTCTTCCCCCTTCCACCAGGTTCCCACCCCACCCTCCGCCCCCTTCCCACCCCCCATTGTCCTCATCCATAGGTGCACAGTTTATGTTCAGTGTCTTCCTCCCTTCCCCCCACCCAGAATAGTCAGTCCACTCCCCTCCCATATCGCTGACTCTATTACAATGAACCACTATTATTGTTCATCAGGTTTTTTAATCTCCTTTTTTTGTTGTTGTTGTTTGTATTTTGTTTTTTAATTAATAAACTTTTACACTTCTAAGAATAAATTTTAAAATCTAATAATTTTAAACTTTGGTTTTTTTTTCTGTCCTGGGAATTGAGAGCAAACTTGTTTACATGTAAACTTGCCCTTAGGTTATCAAAAGATGTAGCCATTCAAGTGTAAATGGACATATTGTTTAAACATAGCTGCTGGTTGGAATTGGATTACCTGTTCTGGGTGGGAAGGGCTTGTCATTCCCTTTCTCCCTTAATATTAAGGTGTTAGCTTTAAAACCTCTTTTTGGCAAGAGACC